AGCAGGTATCTGAGACCATAGTGACTAACAGCAGATAGACTAAATGGTAAAATTAGCCATTTTCACACAGGAAACATTTGGCATTCATTGACTGAATAGTTAGTATTACGGCAGGTTGAAATTTACAAAAGCATTTTCTTAAAACAGTTTTTCAGGAAATTAAATTTCTCAACTCTACTGTTCACTCTTAATATTGATGGAAGTTTCCTTCCTAACCTTTTGTTTAAGATAGTGTGGAAAGTCAACATCTTCATTATATCATTATTTTCTCTTTTAGTTACTACCTAGTGCTACCTCATTTTCTTGTTGCTAGTGAGGTAGTTTTTGTTATTTGGTAAAGCTCTTTGCTTGTGATTTTGTAGCACTTGTCTACAGGGTCTTATGAAGGATTGTTTTCTTTAAGTCTTAAAAGATTCATTCACTTGAATCCATTTTTAATCATTTATAGTTTAGACATGTATGAGACCCATATAAGTCTAAATCTGACAAAGCCATTGAGAACATGACTACTAGAAATGTCTGGCATAGCACTAGTAACCGTGTGTTAAAAAAAAACAACATATATATATGTTATGAAACTTGTGCTTTTTATCATTCCTACCAAAGAAGTATTTATATTAAACATTGCAGTATTGATTACTACAAATTGTAATGGATCAGGACACTAGTGGTTTTAATGATGTTTTTTCAAAGTTGATTATATTATTTGCATCTTTATACACATAATGGTTGCCTAAAATTAGAATCTTTATTCATATAATATCAAACAGAAATTTGACACTAGTCAGTAAATTTATTAGCAGATATTCTTATTTACATTATTTATATGTAATAGTAATCACAACTCTCTTGTATGCCTGTGAGACCTTGGTACTCTACCAAAGAGACATCTGCAAACTTGAAAGATTCTATCAAATGAAACTTTGTCAAATCTTGCAGAACACATGGCAGGACTGGATCATGAACAACAAAGTTTTTCTCTACTCAAAGATGGAGAGCCTAGAAACCATCATGACACATCACTGACTTCAATGGGCTGGACACCTTGCCCAAATGCTAAACATTCACCTACTCAAACAAATTCTCTTCTCAGAGCTCACATCTGGCAAGAGACCATGTAGAGCCCCATGACATCAATTCAAGGAACAGCTCAAAAACTCCTTGCTGAGGACAGAAATTGATCTGGTCAATTGGGAGACAGAAACTGTAGAAAGAACCAAATTACATGCAAATATCCTTTGGAAAGGTATGATTCCATCTCTTCTCCCCCACCTATATGTTGAATAGCTGGACAGACTGCATCCTATAGCATTGGATGGCAACCAGTCAACTGTTGAAAGAAATGGCAACACACTATGGGAAAATCTGCCTTGCTAGTCATAGATTGAAAAAGATATGATTGCTTGGGCATGTATCATGTATGTCACTCAACTGATCTCTGCCAAGAACTTTAAACTGTCTTACAAATTACTAGTTTATATTCCATTTACATTTGGAAGCTGCAGAAAGAACCAATTGAAGAGTAGTTCACAAAAAAAAAACCTCTGAAAAGACCAAAAGAAAAATAGACAAACCCAGAGCTCTCCATTCCCAGGACCCTCGTACCCTACCATGTGGTGTTTGCACCAACTCTTCAGATCTAACATAGGATTCATTTCACACACAAGGAAATGTCTATGAGCACCCTAATACTCAGCAATGATTTCCACAAATGACCATGACAGTATAATTGTATCTCATCAATTTTTTTTGGTGCTAGATATTGTAGTTAGGAAGAATTTCTTTTCCCTGCTTAACATTAGTTTTCTATGTTTCTCATTAGCTTATTTCCGGAGTATAATATTAAGGTTCGTGTAGATTAACTAGTATTTTCCTTATTGAATAATTCCACTGAAATTGTAAATGTAAACATTACTTGAATGTCATTGCTTTTTATTTATCCCACTTGTATTAAATCTGATCAGTATTTTATATTCTTGGCACTTGTGTTGATAGAAATAAATATAACCCTTTCTACATTAGTTTTCCCTTTGTTCTACTTGTGATATTGACACTACCATATCATGTATTGCTAATATTTACATCATGAGAATATTATAATGCTTTTTTCTTGTTCTGTAATTTATATTGATAAGCCATGTCTACTCAATATAAGCATGTGAATGTTAAAGCTTTGGACATAAATACAATTTTGCCAAATTGGAAAATAATTTGTTCTAATCAGTCTCACCTACTCGACAATATTTGAACAGTAAAACCCATGGTCTTCAGTCTCGTACAATAACCACTGTACCTGAAATGAAAGTATTAATTCATTATTGTTTACATTTTCTTACCTACATTAAATTTCAATATTTTCCATTTACTAAAGAAGAAAAAAAGAAGAGAATAATGCATACTAGTGTATGAGGAGGGGGGTCAGAATAAGAACTTTTCAGCACCCCTTTTATAGGAAAAATTCATCAATAGAGTTAAAAATGTTTTTTTTTTTTTATCCTAAACTAATCTGTGGAAACATTAAATAAACAGAAACCTTTTGACTTGAGTTTTCACTTCATTATGACTTGCATGCTGACTTTATAGCATTTCTATAACATATTTAATTATTTGAATTAACTGACCAGATGTGTAGTATTCTTATTCAAATCAAAAACAGAATTGATCTTTTCAGCTTGTTTTCCTATTCCATTAAACATTAATAAAAAAATCATTTTTATTGCTAATATTTTACATTTAAATGGCTGGCTACTCTTGTTCTTTGAGCAAACTCATCTGCTAGGTCAACTTGTCAATCCCTGTTGCAGACACTGGTTTAGGCACTTAGTTACAGTTTCTGGGAATGAATGCATAATTTGTCATGATCTGCAGTTTGAACAATGACAGTACACTCAAATCCTCTGAGCATTTCCATCTACCCAGTTTCACTCCCAAGGCTTGGGTCAATGCATGGTATGATTTTCAGGAACTTTCCAAAGGTGCCTTATGCTGGGGATTGCATCCCTAGACTGATAACAGCATATTTTGCTTTTGATGAAGTTCCCAAAAGAACAAAATGCATTGCAAAAATAAGTTATCCTATTTTGTCATCATAATATGCTAAGTTTCATAATTTCACTGTTGAAATGGCTGCTAGTTGTAACCAAAAGCTTTTTATACGAATAGTTTCTTCTCTCATGCTTCTCACTTGTGGAGCTCTCTTTCTACTTTCCTCTTAGCTATGATCTTCAAATATTTAAATGCAATGTTAATCTTAATTTTCTGCTTCCTTGAATTCTGTTACTTTATTGTCTTATTTCTTTCCCTCTCTGTAACACCTTGCACCTTAGTGGCTTTTATCACCTAGCTTGGGGTCAAATGATTAATATATATATATATATATATATATATATATATATATATATATATATAATGCAATTTCAAAAGTATTAATGGATTTCTTTTTAATCCAACATTTTTATTAGTTTAGCTGTTATAGTGGATACTCATATTTTAAATAGATGCCATGTTTTATTCTTTGTTTTTAAACAGTGTGTAGTATGTCTATCTGTGCATTTGAGAAATCTTAATAAAAAATGTGCTCTCTGGCAAGGACTGAACCTACATCCCCAGATTTCTTGTATACATAGGCTTATAGATGATGTAATACACGCTGTTTAAAAATAAAAATGGGATGTCTATTTCATATAACAGTATCCACTATAACAACATCTGAAGTGTGTATGTATATGCATATATATATGTGTGTGTGTGTGTGTGTTTCATTATAGATGACAGACGAGGTACTGCGATTAAGCTTTTTATTTAATTTTTCTTGTGTTTGAACAAGTGTTTTCTTTTCTGGATGCAATGAATAAAATCATCCTTGGTAATGGTTAAAAGTATAGTCATAAGCAGTCGCATTACAGAACATTTGGGCAGTTTCTACACACTCTGTGTCCAGAAAAGAAAATACTTGTTTGAACACAAGAAAAATTAAATAAAAAAGCTTAATCACAGTACCTTGTCTGTCATCTTTAATGAAACACATATAAAAGAGGGAGATATATATATATATATATATATATATATATATATAATAAAAAGGCTTAAACACTAATATTCCATGGTTATAATTTATTCCATTGGAATTGTAAATACGATCCAATTCATCAGACCTACAAATTCAAAAAGAAAACAGAAAAAACAACTCCGGAAAAAAAAAAAAAATTTAGAGAGAGTGTAAGTATGAGAGTGTGGGACTAATATTAGAGCTATAGAGAGGGGTAACCGGCGAGAGAAGGTGGGGGATTAAAATTTAACAGAGAGAAGTTTTAGAGAGGGGTGTCAAAGACGGTTTAAGTGAGAGAAATATGAATGTTGTCGGATGTCTAATACATTAAAGATGTAACCATAAAGATGTGTGTGTATATATATATATATATAGTGCATACACATGTGTTGAACAAATCAAAAAAAGCTACTAATGAAAGAAAGAAATTATTTTCAGTAATATGTTCAAATAGACCATCTATATACTCATGTACATTAAGAGTCTTTTTTGTTGATTTTAAATTCACTATTTTCCTCTATTGTTGGAAGGAATGTTTCCAACATTTCTGTATACTTTTTACATTGTTCTTTTCTGTCTGTTCACATGACACATCAATTATTGGAAGACTGTGAAATAGTTTTGTGTACTTAAAATAAAACTGTTAACCTACCACCTGCTTATATTTAAACAGGAGAGATACAAATTGATGTTATTAGTAACTGACTCAGAAAATGGAATTGGTAAACTTAGCTCAAATTATTATAGCAGCCACTGATGTTACATCAGTGCAAATGCCTATGTGAAAGGCTTACATCTAAAACAATATTCTTTTCTATTGCAACTCATTTTGATCTTTGTTTTATGAGAAGACCATCATGATGATAACTATGAAAGAGAAGCGATCCCCTTTATTTTTTATAATTACTTGCCCAACTCATAACAAGAAAATGGATGCTATATCCATTTTTAGTTAGAACCCATGGAGACCAGGACAGAGAGCATATATTCATATTGATAAATCTATCTATCTATCTATCTATCTATCTATCTATCTATCTATCTCTGTGTGCGAATCTATCCTTTATATATAATTGATTATTATTCTTTTTTGTTGGTTTTGAAACATTTGTAATCAAGGCCAAATCATCAAAGATAATAAAAGCATCAACAGTAACACTAAATAAGCAATATACACACTGTGGATTCACATGTGAATTTGAGCATATGAATGCATTTGAATCAAAATTATTAAATTAACTATTTTATTTAAACACTAGAAATTATTTTCCCCAAATTATCTGAATATTGTTGAAATTTCACATAATAAAATGAAAAGAATTATATAACTTACTTATTCAATTTGGCATTGTTAACTTCTTTGTTTCCTATCTGATTATATATTTCATTAAAATGATTAAATAAATCTAATTCATTCAGTGTCTTATCTATAAATGAACAACACATCTAGTATTTAGTTTTATGAACAAGAGAAAACTTATGAAATTTAATCTTCCATGACTGATTTTTATTGTTTTCTTAGAAAAGTTTCCTGGCATTCAAATGTACTTTTATTGACTGTTTTTACTTGGACTTTTCTTTTTCATCTTTTTCTTTTTTTTCTTTTATCTTCTTTGGTGGTTGTTTGTTCATTTATGTTGGAAATCACCAGGGCCTGATTTTCTGTTTTAGCTCTATTTGTCAAATGTTTATTAAGCCTGGACACTTAGTAGGAATTTGACAAGAATCTTTTCTAAGTTATCTCCTATCAGCACGTTTTAATTTTTGAGTCCCCACCCTGATCCTTAAAAATACCTTGATATAATCATGTTGACAAGCAATAATACTTTTAGATCATTCCAATTATTTTAACTATGAACTGAATAATGAATCTGTCATTGTTAATGAAGAACTTGGCTTTTGTGAATGCTCTTGTAATTTTTTATATTTGTATATTTGTAGAAAAAGAATGGAAACAGAAATAGAATTCTTTCAAGTATTATACAAATCATAATTCAGTTTGTGAATTGATAATTTTATTTTTAATTACTGACAAGTAATGTGCCATTTACTGCAAATTCTGTTTTCACCAAACACCTTGTTCCTAATTTTATCATTAGAATTGCTGTGCTATCAAATGGAATTAAAAGTCTACACTGTAATCTTATTTTTGGCTATATTATTTCCATAAAAAATAACAAAACTCTTGTCTCTATACAGCTATGTTTCAATAATATATAAAAGAAGTCAAATTGTACAGTATGAGGAGATTTAAAAATCCAACTTTGGTTTAAGAGTAGGCATTATTTTTGATTAATTAAACTACTTTTACAGATACTATACCTACTATTTATTTTATAAATCTTATGAAAGAGAGACTACTAATTTTCCTTGTAAGCACTTCAGTCTTGTACATTTTATATCCAAATCCATTACCATTTCTTTTAAATATAAAAACTTATCTCTTTTAGTAAGTTCTATTAATTTCAAATATAGTTTCTTTGTACATTATTTACATTATTCAGACTATTGTCCTCATCTTTGTTGCCATATTTATCACAACATATCGGCCGTTGTACGCTCTGGCCTTCTTCAGGTGGTTAGAATGTCAAATTGAACCCTTTATTTTGATCACTGGGGTAGACTGTTCTAGTTCCATGTGCCATGATTAATTAAAGAAATGTAAATTTGCAGTAACATTGCAGCAATAGAAAGCAACTCTGTGACAGGTTTACACTTTAATTATTGAAAATGGGTTTGTTTTACTCTTCACTTGGTAATAGATATCTTTTTTTTATCAGAAGAGAATCTGCCAGTTTGGCATATCTACTGCAATGACTTTCCCCAATAAAAATGAGAAACATTTGAAAAATGTGTCTTACAGAATTATCTATAGTAGATTGACAGAAGTTCTTTTAAAAGTATTTATGAAAATTCTTAAAATTTAATCTTATTTAAAACACAAATAATGAAATAAATGAAGTCATTTGGTTTCTGGAACAAAGAAAAAAAGAATGGAATAATCACAAGCAAAATCACCAGAGTTTAAAGAGACCTTCCTCTAATTCTGTCTGCATGGCAAGTCCCAGTTGCAAAGCAATTGGGACTTGCCATGCTGCATACACAAGGGTGAATCATCCCCATTCCCTTCATATTCTAACAGTAAGAAGAAAGTTCCACTTGGACAGCTTCCTCCCAATAACTGCTGCTTTGAGGAACAAATGCTTGGCAGGATTACTACAATCTTGACCTCTTCAAGTCTAGGCTTAACTGTTATCTTTTGTACATAATCCCATGAACTGCATTCCTTGCATTTCCTTATGCTCTTACAACACCACCATAAAGTAAGCCTCTACCTTGAACGGCTCTTGGGCCTTGCATTGGATAAACATTACTATAAAAATGCTGTTTTCTTCTATTTCTTTTGTCAGATAATATTTAATAACTATGCAGTTTCATAACGACATTGTTGTCTTTGAAGAATTATTATATTTTTAATAGCCAGCAAAAGGATGAACCATTCCATTAATTTATAAAAGGAACTATGTAATAGACTTGCTGTATATAGTCTAATAAACTTCAACGAGATTCTGAAAAAAATTGGAGAAAGTTAACTTTTGATCATTGAAATCAAAATATATCATCACCATATTTTTGATATAATTAATTTTAACTTGAACCATAAATTGATTTTAGTGCCTGTAAACTTAACTTTCAGTGTGCTCTTACTATTTAGTATTTGTTAACTTTTTAAAGATTCTTTTATAGTGAATTTTTAACCCTTTTTTATAAGTGAGGGAAAAACACATGGATTGATTTTTGAGTCAAATTTCAACCATTTTTCTAATGTTAGGAAATTAATCTACTAGAAGAGCTTTGTAGTATCAAATATTGATTTAAAATCTGTGTTACTCATTCTGTTGATGAGATGCATAATTTCATTTCATGATACAGAAAAGAATATTTTACTTTTAGTCTATTAGTAACTATAGACACTAATTTAAAAAAATTATTTCATTATAACTGTTGTTAGTGGATGTGTGAGTAGGGTAATGAATAAAAGCTTGAAATGAAAAATTGGAGAGCCAAATTCAAATTCTAGTTGGATCCATTAAATTCACTTACATGCAAATGATTTTGGGAAAGGTATGAATTCATCCCTTCTCCCCAGTTATGGGTTAAGTAGTAGGACTTTTATCTGGAAAAAGCATCGTTGTTATCAAAAAATTCTTAATGCAATATTCACTCACAAAAAAATAACAATCTTTTGGCATTAAAAGGGTTGATAAACCATAAAAATCAATCATTATTGGTCATCCTTTTACAGAAACACCTGAATATATTACAGACATAATCAACTCCCATATTTAAATAGTTATACAAATATATACCTATTAATATATATCTATTTTTAAAAATATTTGCTTATTTTTTATTAGGTATATAACAGTTTAGCTTTTATAATATGGAGAGTATTGTTTTTTTTCTTCTCTTTTATAAGATGTTGTCTTTGTCAGAGTTTGACTTGGAATCATATTAAACACTGTTATATGTGAATATTTGTCCCACGTATCATTGGGACAAAGCAAAAAATTAGTTAGGTTGCTACTTTATTAAACAAATTTTTATTAATTAGAAGTTAAGAACTGTATAATTGTTGTAAAGGGGAAGCTTGAGATAAGGAGGTAGAAAGGTATTGAAGTCTAATCACTTCCAAAACTGCCCCACATCCCAAAAAGTGGGGGGATCTGAATAAAGAAATAGAGAAAGGTGGTTAAGTAAGTCAAATATGAAACTCATCTAACATTTTTGTATCCAGTTGTGAAATGCAAAGGGAGTGAAACAATGTTTAGTAATTAAAAACTTCATATATTTCATCTTTTGACAATTTTTATAATTTGGTTACAAGTCTTGTGGATCCTTTTTTTTATTTTTTTTTTTATTATAGTTACCAATTTAAAAAAAATTTTTATTACATTTCTCTTACTTTGGCTACTTGATAAGAATTGATCTATTTAACCTGTTTGGTCATTCATTTCAGATTGTTTCACTTCTTGTATCAGTGTTTTTTTTTTTTTTTTTTTCAGATCTTGAATATAATTTATCATTAAATTGTGATATCTGTTTTATTATAGGCTGTTGAGTGCTAAAAAGTCCAACAAAATGTTTTAGATATTTTCTGCAGTGGTTAAACTTTGATGAAGAATACCTGTTTTTTGTAATTACCTGACTTTATTAATAGTCATAACAATCATAGGTTGATTATTGAAAGTGTGACTACACTTTCTTTTTTTTATCAAGAAAGTTAAATCCTTAAAGTTCCATTTCAGTATTTTATTTTTGATTGTGTTCTTATCAAATGAAAAAAAAAAACAACAAAAATTATGTATTTAATTTAAAAACTTGGAAGTATTTCAAGAACAAGTTTACATTTGGATGAATGTGTTAATCTCTTTGAGATTATTATATATTTTTTAGTATCATTAGGAATTTGGATGCTTGCAAAGAGAAAAACATTTCCTTTTTGATCATTAGTAAACTGATGTATTATCACCTGAATCAATTTAGAAACATTAAATGTAGTGAAAAAGGTCACTCTATTAATAGAATCTAAGCAGGTAAGCTTTTAGCTTGAGAAAATCAATGAAAAAGACCCACTATAAACTTTGAAATGAAACTGAAGGAATCATTCAGAAATTGTATCAGAAGAGAATACTTGGATTAAACTATAAACCCTAAGTAGAAATAGTTTCTCATTCTTAAATTAAATCTTTAGTAATCCTATGTTTATATAATTAAATAAAAGAAATCACTCTTGATATAAACTCTAAAAATACAGGCATATTGTAGTTTTAACATTAAGTTCTCAGCAAATTAGAAATTTCTCAGTTGTTTTCTGCTGGGCCTGAATGTCACACTTTATGCATGATTTGATATTTGATATTTCTAAAAATAACACTTTCAAGAGAAAATCAGTTGCAATGATTGAACATTTTTGAATAGATCTTTTTATTTTGTTTAAAGTAATGTTATTGTGCAAAAAATATTTTGAAAATTTTGTATTTCGTTCACTTGATATATTGTTTTACTCTTACATG